TTTTGCGTTGTCATATTGTCATACGCTACAAGCGCACAACGAAACATTGAATCTAGCCTCATTGTCTTGCTCGCGTAGCGGGCTTGGTGGAAGCGAGGCGGAACATAGTACGTCTGCACTCTTCTACGAGCCGAACAGCCGAGCGTGACGTCACGCACACGGACGGCGGTTCTCGCTGTGTGCGTGCCCCCACCACCTCGGTGCTCTTGGTGCTAGCCTGCCAAAACTTTCATCACTGCTTCTAGGGAGAGGTCTTTTCCTATTTTGGCGACCTGCTCTCGGCGTTCCGGAGCCCACTGTGGACAGTCTTCCACGGTGTGCTCCACCGAGTCACTGGCCGCCCCACACTTGTAGCATTGCGTCGTTGACTCGCGTCTGATGCGACACAGGTACTCACCAAAGCAGCCATGCCCGGTAAGCACCTGCGTCATACGGTAGGTGAGGCGTCCGACCCCGTTGTCCAGCCACACTTGTAAGTGGGGTCGGACGACCCGGACGACTTCCTGAGCGTCCACGTCTGGCTCGCTCAGGAGCTGCTCCCAGTCAAGGAGCAGTTGTTGCCGGGCTTGGCGCTCTGACCTGGCAAGGGCCTCCCGCAGAGCATCTTCTGCAAGTCCCTCCCGCTGGAGTTCGACTCGGCGAGAATATCTCGCCGAGTACATGCCAGCAAGAAGGGCGAGAAGAAGCATCCCCGCCAGAACGCCCGCCGTCTCTCTTGCCACCGTACAGAAGCCGCATATAACGCGGAGGACCGCTACTCTCTGGGAGGCGCGGAGTAATGCGAATTTACTCCGCGCTCCTGCCCTTGCAGCGGTTTTCGCCTACAACGGTGCCCCATACAGGGCCACCGAGTGGACAACGTTGGCGTATAGACGGCGGACTTTATACTTCGGTCCCCCGAGGTTCGGCTGAATGCGCGCCAGCGCGTTGGCGACCTTCCGAACCCGGGGGGCCAGACGAGCAAAGTGCTCGTCAAAGCGCCACTTTGGGTCGAGGTAGAGACCAAGGTACTTTATGGTCGTACCTACCACGACCCGTGCCTCACCTACGGAGAGACTGAGTTCTGGGGGTCGTCCACGGAAGTGGTCAAAAAACCACATAGCTTCCGTTTTGTAGACGGCCATTTTAAGACCCAGTCTCTCGATGCGGTCAACGACGCAATTTGTTCCAACCTCTGCCAGTAACCTGGTTCTGTTCCAATCGTCCCCAGAGGCAACTATCAAGGTGTCATCTGCGTAGCAGATGACTGATAGCCCTTTGGGGAGCGCGGCACGGATCACCGCATTGTACCCGAGGTTCCACAGCAGCGGGCCAAGAACTGACCCCTGTGGAACCCCGCGGTACATCTCCCTTTGCTGCGGTGATCCGTACCAGCCGGTATATTTTATCTCCCTGCCACGGAAGTAGTCTCCGAGGAGCCTACTCAGATAGAATGGGATTCTGTGGTGTTCCAGAGACCACCCTATGCTGTCCCAGGGGAGGAAATTAAAGGCATTAGAGATATCTAATAAGACACTGCCAATACCCTCCTCCCCTGTTTGGTCGACGTCTCCGTGAGGGACTTTAGTCGGAAAACAGCATCCACCGTTGACTGTCCCTTACGGAATCCATACTGGCAGTCGGCCAGCGGGACCTTCCCGTGACAGGTGCTCGACGAGGCGATTGGCAATGATGCGTTCAAAGAGCTTGCCCGCCTCGTCGAGTAAACAAATCGGCCGGTACGCAGATGGCGAGTCTACAGGCCTCCCTCCTTTGCGGAGCAGAACCAGGTTGGCGTGCTTCCAAGCTGGGGGGAACCAGCTGGTCCTCAGGCAGTCAGTAAGAACCTGCCTGAGGCGCTCTCGCAAGGGACCCTGTCCGAAGGCAAAGCCAAATTTTTTGCCGGGCACGCCGTCGGGACCAGGAGCGGTATTCTTTCGCGTTATCCGACGGACGGCTCGGCGGAACTCCTCGGGCGTGTTCCGTTTGACCACAGTACGATTCGACACCGCTCGATTCGACACAGATTTATTCGACACCAAATTATTCGACACCGTACGATTC